GGTTATCAGCTTTTATTTATTAGACAGTTAGACTTCAACATTGTATGACGTGAAATTTATATTAGGTATTAAATTTTATGATCGAACATTATAAAAGAAAAAACAAATATGAATTAATAACGTAGTGACTAGTGATGTTATTGATATTTTTATAATTTATTGATCCCATTAATTTTTTTATAAAATACATTATTCATTATATTAATTTAAGTTATTGTTAAAAGGTGTTTTGATAAATTTGTTTTTAATATATGTAGCCTTACGATTATATACGAYAATATGGTTATTGCAATGAGTTTAAAAATAGTTATGTGAAAAACATTCACGATAGAACAATTTTTAAATTATTGCTGTATAATAAAAGTTTAAGTAAAACTATTGAGAGTGAGGCTATATCGTTCTAACGAGATTGAAAAAAACTGGCAGTTTTTTAGACATTGTAAGTATAATAGAAGCGTGGTTTTTAAGAGTTTTTCATTTTAATAATAATAAAAATGGGGTTCCCTTAAAAAAAAAAAAACATAATAACAATATGAGAAAAAAACCCCGTTTTACAAATTTGTCAAAAAGCCGAAATCACCGAGTTTCATTTTCTCACTACATTTTAGAAGCCATTGCTATAATGTTGAAGCAAAAAATAATTTTTACCCAAATACACAAAACCTATGTTATTCTACCGTACTATAATGTATTTGTGCCCAACAATAAAATTGTTTTAAATAAAATATTAGACTGCACATTTTGAGTTTAAATTATAAAGTTTGTTCGCTTACTGTCGTTATAAACTGTCTATAAAATACTACAAATGATTTAAGTATGACAGATGCGCACGCCTCGTGTCGGATTTTCGTTTCATATCATGGGGTTTAAATCCCAGTTAATCATTTTGAGATGACTCATAAGCCGTTTAAATCAATCGGTCTTTCGGTAAACGCCTGGCATAACCCATCGACCCGTCGACTTCTACTTTCTGTTATTTTATTTCTCTTATCAAAACAATCCACACCATAAAGTGGACACACAATTTCGAGTTGGAAAAATAATAATAAAAAATAAAATAAAATGCTTTATTAATCCACCTCCAATCAATGAAAGTCGTATGCTAGTTAATACTAATAAATCGATACTTACAAAAGACGAACTCGTGAGGAGTACCCTGTGTTTATTTGTTTCGATATTGTATACGCTGACGCCACCTTGTGCGTCTCGAACCACCAACTCCACGCCTGAAAACAAACATAAAAA